TGATCAACACATCTCCGATGTCCTTAATATTGTAACAGAGTAAGTCCATACGCCGCCCCGGTACGACACCTATGGGTTCTAGTATGTACGGCGATGATGGTCCATCGTCGATGACGGCAGCTGGGCGGCGTTCACTAAAGAAAAGCCTGGAAGCGGAAGTCGCGATGGGTATTCCAGAAAGACCTCGACTGCGGAACTTTTAAAAGGGAAGTATGGCTTTAAATAGAGGCCACCTTCGGGAACGATTATTAATCAGCCAATTCAGCCAAGGAGTGGAGTCCAGTAAATGTTGCCACTTTGAATGTGTAACGTGACATTTGACATTTACGCGGCGGCGCAGCTCGGCGGGAGCGTGGCGCTCACCAACGTGGGGCTTTGATTCGAAGCTTTAGGGTGTCAAACTTTGATGCGAGTGGTGGATTTTGTTGAGTTGTCGGGTTCTTTTCTTTTTTCTTTTCTTTCTACTTCTTTTTCTACGCTCTATTCTGTCCGAGAAGCAACAATAATAATTAGTATCTTATTAGATCTAGATAGTGCGCATTTTTAAGAGGTCTTGTATCGTAGGGTTACATAATGGCCAGTGCAAGCTCCATTTATGACATGGAACCGAACTTTCTCAAGGTCAACGAAATCGACTACGAGTTGAGGATACGAGGAGTAGCTCGCACAGACCGTGTCGACGTTGACACAAAAAGGAAGAATTTGAGGAGAAGGCTACGGGAAGATCAGGCACGGCCCAATATTGTTTACACTACGTCACAGTTTGTGTTTCAAGACGAAAAGAAGGAAGTTGACGCCACGATAGCGGAGATACGAGAGTTGTTGAGGCAATTTGACGGATCTCGGGTAGAAGCAAACAGGAGGTTACAGACCAGGATCAACCACGTGTTGGGAAGAGTCAGTAGGTTTTGTGCAGACTCCGCCAGCGTTGAAGGTGAAGAATCCGCAGCGTATAAATTGGACAATACGTTGATCATTGTAGCATTCGATGAAACACGTTTAGAGATATTGGACCAAGCCAACTTACCGGGAGGTTCAGGTAGCGCAGATGTACAAGGAGCTATGCACAAGATAGCACCAGTGTACAAATGGGGAATTACGTTCGATGGTAAATCAGTGAGTTCCTTTCTGCAGCGAATTGATGAACTTAGAAGGGCGAGAAGTACGTCGAAAGAAGAATTGTTCCGATCTGCCGTAGATTTATTCCAAGGTCAAGCGCTAATATGGTACCGTTCAATCAGAGATTCAGTGCACAGTTGGGATTCGTTAGTACAGGCTTTGAAGCGAGATTTTTTACCACCCGATTACGACGAAGAATTATGGAGAGAGATTCGTAGCAGGACACAAGGTTACAGCGAACGTGTTACTATTTACATAGCTGCAATGGCGAATTTATTTAGTCGTCTCTCACAACCGCCGTCAGAAGAAATTAGATTAAGCACCATAAAGAAAAACTTACTGCCCAAGTTCCAGACTAGAATAGCTTTGCAAGAGATAAGATCCATTGAACAGTTGGCCGATGTTTGCAGGACGTTGGAAGCCGCCTTTACGACACAACAACGATTCCAACCCCCACCAAGGAGAAGTGTAGCGTTGCTAGAACCAGATTTGGCCTACTCTGAGACGTTAGTAGAGACAGAGGCGCATTCGTCTAAATCGAGGCAGTCACGGTCACATTGTGCCCGACCTGAAGTTAGTGAACTGCGATGTTATAATTGCAATCGTGCTGGTCATTTGAAGCGAGATTGTCGTGAAGCCAAGAAGGAACCAGTGTGCTTTGGATGTGGACGACGAGGCGTTATCCGACCTAACTGCCCAAAGTGTTCAAAAAACTAGCAAACAGGCAACACGCATCCAAGAGCCCACGCGAGTTGTCTGGTGTATATCAAAAGGCTCAGAAAAAATGTGGCATCTCACCACACGAGTGGAGAGAGTGGTTGGCGAAGGTGAAGAGTTTTTGCGGTTCCTTAGCAAGATGTCCAAAAAGGTATAGAAAAAAGGCATCGTTTAAGCAGGTTAGTAACTCCGAATGCTCTGGAATAGTAACAAATCCGTTAGATGCTATGTTTGAGGTAGACAAAAAATGTGATAGTCGGCCCCATTTGAAAATTGAAGCGTATGGACATTCATTGGTTGCATTAGTAGATAGCGGAGCGTCAATTTCGGTAATAGGGGAAAACGGTCTATATCTGATAGAATTTTTTAATCTACATGTGTACGAATCAGGAACGGAAGGCGTGAATACTGCAGAAGGACGTATGCAGAAAATTACGGGGTACGTTCAGTTACCTATATCGGTAGATGGAACGTGCAAGGTCATGAAGTTTTGGGTGGTACCGACCATCCGCCATTTTGTAATCTTGGGTAACGATTTTTGTGACAAATTTGGAACGGTAATAGATTGGAATCAGAAAACGATTGTTGTGAATGATAAACGTGAGGGATGCGAGGTAGGTGAAACGACCAACGAGGCAGTGATGACTGTCAACAAAATTATTTGTAGGGGAGAGTTGAATAGCGACCAAGAACAAAACTTGAGAGAGGTTATTGGCAAATTTAAGTCTCTTTCGTGGGAAGCAGGAACCAAGTTGGGTAGAACCAACAAAATAATTCACAAGATTGACACGGGTGAAGCAGAACCAATTAAGCAGAGATATAACAACATGTCTCCATATATGTTGCAACATTTGAACGGCGAGTTAGACAAAATGTTAGAATTAGGGGTAGTACAGCCATCCTCATCCCCGTGGGCATCACCAGTAGTGTTGATAAAGAAATCCTCCGGTGAGTATAGATTTTGCTTTGACGGACGTAAGCTTAACTCAGTCACGAAGCGCGACGCTTATCCGTTGCCGCACATTGACAGTATTTTGAGCAAATTAACGGGAGCTCAGTTTCTGAGTAGCATAGATCTGAAAGCTGCGTTCTGGCAGATTCCCTTAGATGCCAACTCTAAAGAAAAGACTGCTTTTGTGATACCATCAAGAGGTCTATATGAATTTAATGTACTGCCGTTTGGGTTGAATAATGCAGCGCAAACTCAACAACGTCTTATGGATACGATTTTTGGACCCTCTTTAGAACCATTTGTCTTTGTGTATCTAGATGACTTACTGATAGCGACACCCACTTTTGAGAAGCACGTAGAAGTGTTACAACAAGTATATGGAAAACTGCATGACGCCAATCTTACAATTAACTTTAACAAATGTGAATTTTGTAGGGCGAGTCTTCGTTATTTAGGGTTCGTAATTGACAGACAGGGGTTGCGAACGGATCCTGAGAAAGTGAGAGCTATGGTGGAATATCCACGGCCCAACACGCGAACAGAAGTGAAACGTTTCTTAGGAGTTGCGGGTTGGTACAGGAGATTTGTTCCTAATTTTGCGGTGATGAGTGCACCTATAACTCAACTCATTAAAGGACAAAAGAAAGGTCAGGCGATTACTTGGACGACCGAAGCTGAGGAAAGTTTTGTGAAGATCAAGGAGGCGCTAGTATCAGCACCTGTGCTTGCCAGTCCTGATTTTACTAAATTATTTTCAATCCAATGCGACGCATCAGATAGAGGTTTAGGATGTGTGCTTGTGCAGGCGAATGAAGAAGGCAAGGAGACTCCGGTAGCTTACGCTAGCCGAACACTGACAGACCAAGAAAGAAAATACACAGTTACTGAGAAAGAATGTTTAGGGGTATTGTTTGGTGTTGAGAAGTTCAGGCCATATGTGGAAGGTACAAAGTTTAAAATTATAACTGACCATTACAGCTTGTTGTGGCTCAATCAATTGAAAAATCCAACAGGTAGATTAGCACGTTGGGCCATGAAGCTACAGCAATACGACTGTGAGATCGAACATAGAAAGGGAACGTTGAATGTAGTCCCAGACGCACTGTCGAGAGCGCCACACGAAGTAGCGATATTGACTATGGTCAAGGGTGAGAGCATGAAAGATCCGGAATACAGACGTCGATTTGAAAGAGTCAGCAAATTTCCAGATGGTAATGCAGTGTGGAAGATACAAGATGACTCCCACCTGTTTAGGCGTTTGAAGAGCCAAAATGGCAGTCCAGAGTGGAAATTATATGTAGCAGAGACATACCGAACAGAGGTCATGAAATCATGTCATGACGAACCAATTGCTGCGCACCTAGGCATGTTCAAAACTTTGAAAAGAGTGCAGGAGCTTTATTATTGGCCGCGCATGCGTAAGGACGTACAACGTTATGTAAGAAGCTGTGAAGTGTGCAAGGCGCAGAAGCCACTCAATTTGGCGCCACCAGGATTGATGGGGAAGTCCCGTAAGGTCTCTTACCCATGGCAGATGATTGCTTTGGACCTGATAGGACCACTTCCAAGATCGTCTAAAGGTAATAGATTTTTGCTTGTGGTATCAGACTGGTTCACGAAGTTTTGTTTATTGAAGCCGCTGCGACAGGCGACTAGTAGCAGCATTACCACCTATCTGCGAGAGAATGTCTTTTATATCTTTGGAGCACCGCAAGTAATAGTGTGCGATAATGGGAAGCAGTTGACGAGCAACATGTTTAAAGGATTGGCCAAGGAGTTTGGAAGCCAATTATGGTTTAATTGTAAGTACCATCCTCAAGTGAATCCTGTGGAAAGGGTAAACAAAGTAGTAGGAGCTGCGATACGCTCATACATAAAAGATAAGCGACATGAGAAGTGGGATTCTAACATCCACGAGATTGGCTACGCGTTGAGAACATCCGTCCACGAATCGACAGGATACACTCCCGTTTTTTTGAATTTCGGCCGTTTTGTACCAGTACACGGATTACTGTACGGTAAGGACGAAAACCTACATCAGTCTTCAACCCACTTTCAGGGACGTTCATGCGGAAAGTATGGATCGTTTATTGCCATTGTACAACGAGGTAAAGAGGAAACTTGATAAGGCGTATCACAGAAATTGTCATTATTATAATCTAAGGAGACACGAGGCACCTTTGTATGCCGTTGGTGATACGGTGTGGAAGAAAAATTACGTTTTGTCAGATGCTTCTAAAAGATATGCCGCTAAATTGGAACCGAAATTCGTGAAGTGCAAGATTGCAGAAGTCCTTTCACCTCTAGTGTACCGATTAACGACAGAGAATGGTGTGGATCTTGGGAGATACCATACCAAGGATCTGAAACCTGATCAGACAAGAAACTCGGATTAGACGCTGTGAGGAAGGTGAGGAGTGCATGAAGAAGGACGATAGATCTCGTGAATGGAGTGTGAACGGTTAGGGTGTTTGTTTGTGTAGAGAATAGATTTCGATTTTGACTTTTTTTAGGCACTAGTGTCGAGGTTGGCAGATTTGACAGATTTGTAGTATTGGCAGAATTTGAAAATTTAGCCATTTATACCCAGAGTAGACAGAAATAATAGATTGACAGGTTGTGACGTAGCTATTATACCGAATTTAGAAATATGAAAATTGACTATGTGATGGACTACAGTTTGGACATTAGTCTGAAATGTCGGACCATCCAATAAGGAGAATAGTTGGATGAGTGGTCCAAGTCCTATAGGGAAACGCTAAATAAATTTAGTTATTATGTAGGTAGAGTAGGTTTAGAAAAAAAATTAATACTCCCCGTAATTATTTTAATTCCAGTTATTATTAATTTTTTTGGGTAACTAACGGGGGTGTGTAACGTGACATTTGACATTTACGCGGCGGCGCAGCTCGGCGGGAGCGACGAGCGACAAGGCGAAGGAAAAAAAAAAAAGAGGGAGGAGAGAGAGGCGAGCGTTGGGTGAAGACGAGGAGGGCCGGTGTCGAGGCTTTGGGAAGAGAGACCGTGTTTGGAGAGACGAGAAAAGGGCTGAGGCGAGAACACCAAAGGCCAACGGAGTCCAGGAGAGGCACAGGAAGCGAAGCTGACCTCAACAGGACCGCGGAGACGGGAACGGGCGTTCTGCGTATTGGTACCAATACGGTAAGTCGCCGGGAAGTGCGCGCCGATCGCCGGGAAGTGCTCGCCGATCGTCCGGGAGAAACCGGGTGCGTCCCAGTTTGCGTTGTGCCAGTTTTTTGTTTTGCCTCCAATCGTCACGGGTCGCCGGTTAACCAGGGTCGTCAATCCACCTACCAACGAGCTGCTGCCGCCCCCCCCCCAATTTATATTATTTTTTTGTATATAGAATCCAGATTATATACGTGATTAGACCGGGTATTTGTTGCTTCTCCCTTTTTTCCCTTTCCTTCCTTTTCTTCTCTTTATTCTAATTATTCCACTCTTCGTTCTTTCTCTTCTTCGGCTTTCCTGTCATCTTTCTTTTTTTTCTGTGTGCCCTCTTGTGACACACTGGCGCCCAAGGTCAAGACAGTCGAACGACCCATCACCCCGCAACGACGAAGGAGCTAGCCTGGCCGTGAGAAGGACGTCACAAATGTTTATCCTAGGCATACTGTAAAAAAGGTGTAATTTAACCATACGTAAATCTAATAATTACCCATAATAAAGATGTGACTTTACCTTAATTTTGAAGTGAAAATTATTTTACCTTAAAATTAAGGTAAAAATCACCCTCTTTTGGAAGTGATTTTACAAATCCTTCATCAAATACGATTTAATATGTAATGGAAGCAAGAAAACTTTGTTCGTGTCCATTAGAGGATGGATTTAATTTTTTTTTCCTGATAACAATTGTGCAAGTGGAGGCCAGTTTTTAATCACATAATGTGAAAAATGATCGGGGCTACCTAGATAAACAGAATGAATAGTTAGTATATCCAAATTGCAAGCCAAGTAAAACCCCTATCACTTTCAGATCTCGACATATGTGCCATTTGTATGTACATAGCATACTTACTAAGAAGGCCAAAGATTTATTAAGAAAGGTTAATAAGGTACTAAGGATAATAATTTGGGGGCCAGGGAAGAGAAAGTTTGGCCATTACTGTAGAAGATGTGGGGAGTTGATGAATGTGAGGAGATTGAGAGGGTGCAAGGAAAATATCTCAAATGGGTGTTAGGGCTAGATAGGGAGACTCCAGACTACATAGTAAAGGAGGAATTAAAAAGAGAGCGGTAAAAGGAGAATGTTAAAAAGTGGAACAAACAGAAAGACAGGAAGGGGTATGGAAAGAGAGAAAGAAATATTATGAGGGAAATAGGTACGCGTGTAAAGAATTCAAAATGTTGATGGAGAAAAAGAGACCGATGCACGGAGAATTAGGCACACACACCGAGAACAGGAGAGACGTGAACGCTTCAGAGAGTCGAGGTACAGTGGTCAACACCTGGGATAATAACCGAAGGCTGGCCAAAGTCCCGGTACAGAGAGAACAGGAAGGAGGAAAAGACGATCGCGAGATTTAGATGTGGGCATGAGGAAGGTGAAACTCGGTTCTCTACGGAGTTGAAAAAGAGAAAGGAAAGTAGAGAGGATATTTTGAACGAGAATTAAAATCCTCCTCTCAAAATTTCTGAAGACATTTTATAACATAATAGGATTGTTATTAATCTGTATTCAATTTTGTTCAATTCTTTTCTGTAAGTCCTCCAGATTTGTAACCGGCGTTTGAAAAATTGTGTCTTTAAGATGAAGAAGAAAAAATCACAAGTTGTTAAGTGACAAGAACGAAGTTGCCAAGAAATTTCTGCATTTCGACTAATAATGCTGTGATCAAAGAAGTTTCGTGAGAAATTTAAGTTGTCCATTGTACAAGGAATCGGAGCTCCGTCTTGTTGAAAGATTTCATTCATCATTGTGTAACTGCTTGACAAAGGGTTCTAAAATTTCAATTCGATGTCTACCAGCATTTAGTGTACCTAATAAAAAATGCGAGTAAAAAAAAGCGTTATTAGCGTAAACAACTATGTTTGTCAAAAATGTCAAACTACTGTCAAATGTCAATTATGGAATTAATCATGCACACGTTTTTTGCTACGTTTCCTTCTACCAAAATGTCAAAGTTAACTAAATGAATTTTTCAAATGAACAACCGTAGGGCAAGGGACAGAAGTATGTGGAGGAGAAAAGCTAGGGAAAATTAAGAAAGCAATTTGGTTTTGTTTGTGAAATAAGAGTATGTTTATGTTTAATTTAAGCCCGCGGGCAAAAATAAACTTAATAATATTAATAATTCACGCCAATACAAGCGGAAGTGACGAAAATTTTTCAAGCGACGATGATGTTGATGAGGATGACAATATGGGGTATTCTTTATTACTATTAGAATAAACCGAAATAAAGAATCTTGCAAAAAAGCGCGCAGTATTAAATGATGCTTTTTTTCTCTAAACATACTTGGAGACCATTCAATTCAGTCGTTGATAATACAAATACCTAGAAGTTTGGATTTACACCGTCTACCGAACTTGTGAATATTCCAGGTTAATTGTTTTGTTATACTTGCAACTTATGTACGAACAATCTTTCTCAGGTAAAGAATTTTATACTGGAACTCTAATATTCCAGCTCTAATAAGATGATCCACGTTCTTAGGACGGTGCTGCGACCTGACCTACCTAGGTTCCATTTCGCGCATTTCGCAGGCCAAATTACAGTCCTACAGATCCCAGTTCGCAAACTATACAAACAATCATAATTTCTCTTTCCACGTTGTTTTACCTCACTTAAGTAGAATATTTGTTCTTTAAACACAAACATCCCGTAACTAGATTTTTCATATTTAAAAATGAAAATAGCTTTGCGTCAAGCATGCGAATATTATGAAATTGCAATCGATTTCGAGTTTGTTCATGTAAAAATTTAATCAGGTATAATTTAATGTTAAACACTGAGATATTAATTATGACAATGCTGCGTAATATGATTATTTCTAAAAAATAAAATATTCCCATGGTGGTGATGAACTAAAACCTAAAAATCTAGTAATTTTTGCACGTAGTGAACACCTGGCATTGATAGATAATAATTAGAAGCAACAAATAATATCAATTTTCGCCACCATTACGCTTAAAAAATGCTAGATATCATTACGAGTATCCGTTAAACCCCCCTTGAGCGCACTTAAACTTAATCGATGCTTGAAGATTTGATAGCCCATAAAAACGACTGTCACTGCCTCACTAACACCGCTTTAAGTGTGTGTTTACATCAACCACTTCGAGAACCCTAATGGAATAAGTCGCAATTTGACGCATCAGAGTTCTTTTGTGAAGTGACAGAGCGAAGGCTTCTACATAAATGTTCGATAAACTTCCGATTGAATCGATTTGTGCATTTTTAAAACGGATTTTTTTAAAATCGACTCTTTATGGCATCTCGGATGACGGATGGCCGTCTGGCTTTTATGTGTATATTTGCCTGCAGTGTCGAGATCAAATATTTGACAAGAAAAAATTCCATCCATTATACCCATATCGACGCATTAATCTTGTGTATTGATGTAATCGAGCTAATGCAACTCGGAGGAAAGGTATAATCAGTTACTTACTTTTGACAAATCGACCTCTGGAGACCCTAGTTTCGAGATACACATAAAAGGGAGCAACTGCCTCTACGAATTCTCGTAGACGGGATGTAGTTTCTGGTTTGATTCCCCACGCGTATATAAATAATGGAATTAATATGTCCGGAGGTGGCTTAGTAATGAAAAACTATTCCGGTTTTACTGCTAAATTTGCAAACCTTGATAGGCTAATCTTAGATTTAGCCAGTCTTAATTTTAAAATTTAAACAGCTTCGGTTGCTATTACTGCTTATGGTCCATAAAGGTGTCTTGCACGTAACGAGTGAGAAAATGTTAATAACGCCCGATCGTGAATTTTTATTCCCTGATTCATAGCTAACACAGAACTTTAATTTCATGTTCCACGATAACAATGGGTGAATACGTTAGGATAATCAAAATTATGTATATTTGTTATTTTAAGTAAGTATAATTTACTCTCTTGAAGGAACCAAGTTCCCGTTTTGAACATTTATAATTTATCTCAGAGATTACACCAGGGAATTCTTAAAAATTAAAATTAAGTGTCTCAGAAACGGTTTATCTAATTTCCTTGAAATTGTGATGTTTAGTGTTGAATGCACAATTTTCGTATATATCTTTACTAGCAACTAATGACGGCACTTCAGGAGGTTAATTAGTAAACTTTTTCATCAAAATTTATATGAGCAGTTTCGTATAAATAATTAAGTTTATCGACTTTTGTTCAAAGTGTTAGACTTTACTTTAGTGTTTTACACTAACAGAACTACGCAGTACTTTACGTAATCTTGTTTGCGATTGTAAGCTTCAAGCGTATTACTATCATGAGATGCAAACATGAAACATCTTTTAATCTAGTTAATTAAAATGCATCTACAGTGAGGTTCTTATTAATAAGAATATGCACTCGACTGTATTGCTGCTTTTCGGGAAAATATGTGTGATAATATTCCTTCTGTTCACTGAATTAAAATGAATATTATCCTAAGTATCCTGTACTCCTTGACTTTGTAATAATAATTATGATTGCACGCAAATAGTAGAGTTACTAGCACTTTTTTTGTTATTTATTTAATATTTAATATTATATAGGGTGATCTCGAAATGTGTGCAATACAAAAATTGGAGAATAGCTCACAATAAGATTTGCACTGTGTAAAATTCACGTTCCTAAGTAATAGCAATTGAAATTAAATATAAATCGTTATACACGCCACTGGTAGTGTTTCTTGAACTACTATAACTATTATTCAATGACTAACATAGAAAGACGAGAATCAAGAACCAAAAAAGCGGCGCGCTGATAAGCAATGTTCAGAAACACAATAAGGGCTAGTCATGTCTCAGTTGGTTACCGGCGTGTGTTCGGTTAACGTCTTTGACAATGGTGAATTTTGTCAATTCAGAGCGTGTCGATATGGTAATGCTTTATGTTGTGGCTCATAGAAACGTCAGGGTCGCCCGCGAATTGTGATGCAACATCTCCGAGATCATGGTACCTTCAAGCCTCAAACTCACAATCGTGGCGTGATAGGACCGAAAGAATACTGCAAGTTGAAGAACAAATTTTGGAACGTTTCGAACAAGACCTCACTGACTCACAGCTGAAGTTGGAGTTTAATATTTGGTCCGATGAAAATTCTCGTGCTCGTCAGGAAATACGATTTCAACGACGCTTTTCCATAAATGTGTGAGCCGATATCGTAAATAACCGCCGACTTGGACCTTATGTTTTACCAAAAGGACTAAACGCGGTACAGTACCTCGAGTTTTTAAACGATGTTCAGCTAGATGTGGAAGTGCATCTAGCTGAACGTGTTCGCATGTGGTACTTGCATGATGGAGCACACCACATTTTGCTAAGCCAGTAACTGAATGGTTAAATAACCGTTTTCCTAACCAGTAGGTAGGTAGAAACGGCCCAATAGCTTGGCCTCCGCATTCACCCGATCTAAATTCGCATGATTGTCTGTGCGGTTGGATGAAACAGTTAGTTTGTTTTGTTGGAAATCAACAGTGTCCAGAAACTATCGACGAGCTTCAACATGGAGTGGAACTGGTACCCGCTATAGTTCGTGGAACTCCCGATGTTTTTTAATGCATCCATGCAAAACATGTTGTGAAATGCTGAAACCTGTATTGTTAGTCAAGGACAAGATTTTCAACATGTATTATAAAAAAGTAGTAGCATTCTAAGTTGTTCTTATATTTGTTCTAATAAACAATGTGGAATCCTTGTGACAAGAACCAAACATCCGTCAGAATAAAAAGTCTCTCACCATGAAGCATTACCAAAAATCGGTCTTTCTCAGGACCACCATTTGTTTCTACAACTAATAATACTCTTTCGCACTGACCTTTAAGGATAAATGAATACATGAATGAACGAATGATAATAATCAGCAAAAAGTGACTAACAGGTCAACTGTTACCAATCTAGTCTGTTTAACGCAATCTTTGTGTGAAGTTGTAGACAAGGGAGGACAAATGGATGTCATATATGCAGACTTTTCCAAAGCCTTCGATAGCATCGACCATGACATCCTCCTACAGAAGTTGAGCAGCTTTGGATTTTCTTTGAAACTTATGAACCTGATATCTTCTTATCTGTTTAATCGTTCGAATTTTGTCTTTTTTAATGGGTTTGAATCTGATAATTACGTGTCAACATCCGGAGTTCCACAGGGGTCTAATCTTGGGCCCCTGCTTTTTAACTTGTTTATAAATGACCTCCTAACATCAGTAAACTGCAGCACACTCGCTTATGCAGATGATATCAAACTTTTTTGCCCCATCTACAATATTGAGGATTCGGCTCGCCTTCAAAGAAACTGGGATCACTTGGTTTGCTGGAGTGACTTTAATAGACTTAAACTGAATTTTGATAAATGTTATGTGGTGTCATACACAAAGAAAAAACATCTTGTTCAAACCAATTACATCATAAAGGGATGTCCTCTGCAAAGGAAGGAGTATATTAAAGATCTTGGAGTCACTTTTGACTGCAAACTGTCATTTGTTAATCATATAGATTCTGTTTCTAAGGCTGCGATGAAAATGCTTGGTTTCATTATGAGGAATGGCAGAATATTCAATGATATCATGGCGTTGAAAACCCTATATTATGCCTTTGTTGTCAGCAAACTAGAATATGGCTCGATAGTATGGTCGCCATTGTATCTCTCACATCAGCTTCAACTGGAAAGAGTCCAAAGAAAATTCTTAAAATACATCTCCTTCAAAATTGATGGTATTTATCCGGAAAGGGGAATTGATTATAGTTCACTAGTGCAAAGACATGGATTCAGCTCATTGTCTGACAGGCGTGGCTTACAATGTTCGAAGTTTATGCTAAAGCTCATCACTAACAAGATTGACTGTCCATATATTATGGGTTATGTAAACTTTCATGTCCCGAAATATGCATCACGTTATGTGGAGACGTTTCATTTGGTAACACCAAGAACTAATGTCATGAAGAACTCGCCAATGACTAGAATATCATATTTTGCTAACATCCACTATGATGATATATTTCATATTGCACACTAACTGTAAATTATTTTGTATGTATTTCACTCATATTAAGTCTTTTCACAATTTAATTAATTAATTCTTATTTTATTTTACATATATATTTTGTTAATTGCATTATACTATGCAGAATGTAGGTATTATACAATGTATTGTCCTGTAAATGGTGTACACTGTTGGGCAATAAATGCTATTATTATTATTGCTATTATTATTAAAAAGTCAGTTTTACTATTAATTGAAACTGAAAGTGTTTACACTGGTTTTATTCGAACTTTTTCCCATCTACTGTTTAAAAGGTGGATCATTAGCATCGCATCGAGGGTGGTGCATGGTGGTTTTGCCCCATTTGACTTTTAATAATTTATTCTTTCTATATTTCCACATTACTACTCGACGTGATGCCGTGATTACAATTATTGTATATATTTCGAAATCACCCTGTATATCTTTTATCCTCAGATTGACGGCAGTTATTGAAAGTCAGATCGATGCTTTGTCAAGTAAAATGGTACATTATGTAATTCAAGTTATGATTTAGAAAATCCGATGATGAGAAAAACAAATAAAAGTGGCAATCACGGTCACGATTCTGCATTGAAATGTATTCTCCACAAAAATTTCTAACTGGTTGCTTGGTGCACTGACGCTAACTCAAACACGTCATCATCTCCACAATACTGAAAACATTCAACATTTTGTTGACAGCTTTCAACTGTTATGTTATCATCTTTTCAATTTTTAGAAATACATTCTAATCTATATTCTACCTGCGGTTTCCCCCACCATATCTTATTCTTTTGTCCAGGACTAAAACAGCCGAGTAAGGGATAGTGTCAGAATTAAATGTTCTGTTTTTATTTTTAAAGGTTTCTGAACTGTTACGGATATATGGAATACACAATATTTATTTCCTCCTATTATTACTTTTATAAATATATAAACAGACAAGGTAACGAAACTTAAACTATGTAGACCTTTAACTGCTTATGGAAAGCTAATGTTTTTTGAATTCATTAGCACCATCAACTGGGATTTTATTGATGGAGATATAGATGGTGACAACAAATTATCAATGTTTTTAAACAACATGCTCTATATATATTATATTGCTTTTTCTGAAAAAAAAATTGCATACAATCTTAAATCAAATAGTCCTCATAATGGCTGGTTTACTACAGAATTAAAATCCATGAGAGAAACTTTAGGTTTATTAGCTGAGTGTTACAAGTTGAATCGTTCAACTGAATCAAAAAAGCTGGTAAGAAATTTTAAAAAGAAATATAATTTAGCTATAAAAAGAGCAAAAGTTAAATACAATGAAAGGTACATAATACAGTATAAAAATAATCCCTAAGCTTTGTGGAAAATTAATAATAATTCTAAAGAAACAAAAATAATAAAGGATTGTAGGATAACCCCTGATCATTTTAATCACTTCTTTAGTACAATTCTCAATACCATAATATTAATAACATCTCTACTTAAACCAAAATTTGATCCTCTGTCGGTATCAACACACACTTGAAAGTCAGTACTCATTACTTCTTATTCCAGCCAGTGTCTCAAATAGAAGTACGTGCAGTTT